AGGAGAGGAAAGCTGGTCAACAAAGCAAAGGATGAGGAATCATCAGTTCTCATCCATGGATCAAACACTGGTAAAATTACAGGATGTTACTACATCCATCCTAATAACAAAATTATTTATGTAATATCAGACATCATCCAGTCTTCTCCCCAAAAGAAGTTTATACAATTCGTATAAGGCCAGTGAACCGGCCAGTAACAGAATATTACTGCCTCTAGTCAAGTACATCAGAGAACTTCACAGTGTACATGACTGAGGATAATTTTGGAATAGTGTTATTAAGGACACTAAACAAATAATATTTTTGTGTACCATCATCTACTCTAGGAATAAAGAACATGCAAAATACAGTTCCTGATTGTATTTTCAGAAAAAAAATTCCTCATTGTATTTCCTATCCACTACAGACATTTTAAAAAGCTCATGTGTGAAGAGAGAGAGAGTTTTGCAGGTAAAAGCACTTACAATACAATCTTGACAACCTGAGTTCAATTCCCTGAACCATGAAAAATGCCAGATACATTGGATTGTGTCTGCAAACCCAGACAGTAAGAAGGGAGGCAGAGAGCGTAAAATGCCCTGAAGGCTCGAAGATCAGTTAGCCTGGTGTACACTGCAGAAGGGAAACAACAGAGACCCTAGCTCAAACAAGGTTGAAGGCAAGAAGTGGCAGTCAAGTTTGTCCTCTACATGGCTGTTGTCCCACATGAGCACCTTCATACAGAAATTTGTACACACAGGTACACACTATACATACACAAAAAAAATTTCAAAAAAACCCAAAAAATAGTACTCATGTGGTGATAAGATATTACAATCACAACATGTATTAACATTTACAATCTGTATCACTAGGCAGCAAACCTGAAGAGAAGACGCCTGAACTCACCAAATGTATATCTGATAAGAGGCAGGGCAACAAAAATGCAGCAAATATAACTTATCTCAGGCCCCTGCCTCAGTCATATGGTCAGCTCTACACTGAGTACAGTTTTGTAGGTTATGCTTTCTAAGAATTGCCCATTTTGCCTATTTTCAAATGTATAAAAAGCATTCATAGTTTGTACTGTCTGGTTTTGTGCATCACCATGACACAAGTTAGAGCCATCAGAGGAAGGAGCCTCAGTTGAGGAGGAAATGCATCCATGAGAACCAGCTGTAAGGCATTTTCACAATTACTGATCAATGGGTGAGGGCCCAGCCAATGGTACATGGTGCCACCCAGGATCCCTGGACCTCTGTCCTGGGTTCTATAAGAATGCAAAGTGAGCAAGCCTGAACAAGCCAGAGCAAGCAAGCCAGTAAGCAACTCCTTTCCATGGCCTCTGCAACAGCTCCTGTCTCCAGAATCCTGTCCTGCTTGGGTTCCTGCCCTGACTTCCTTAAGTGATGAGCTGCAATGTGGACGTGTAAGCTGAATAAAACCTTTCACCCTCAACTTGCTTTTTAGTCATGGTGTTTCATTACAGCTACAGATATCCTACCTAAGACAGATTTTTCTCATTTTTATCAACCCATGCTATATATTTTTAATTTCAAAAATGTGTGCCTTTAATGTGACTGCAGTCTATCCATTGCAGTATTTCAAGAAACTTTCTGTTCATCTACAAACTTTAAATTTCACTATTTTCCATTGATGCTATTGTTTCATTTCCAGTTTACATTTTAGACCGAGCAAAAGAGATTCTTTCCTGAGCCACAAGGTTTGAAAAGCCCTGTATACACCAACTAAAAACAGGTGCAAAATAAAACTAAAACTTTAAAAAGTGGTATAGATGTGGATGCAACTCAAACAATGACACAGAAGAGTTCTTTATAATCAGTTCTACTTTTTGCTCTGTCTGATGTTTTCCCTTTTGATGCTTGAGTTAATCACAATTATGCTTTCACGTGTTCTAATGAAAAGGCTGTTCAGGAATGTTTGTTCATAAGCTCGTTCCTGTGAATACTTCACAAACAGTTCATCTGAAAGGAAAATATATTTCTATTCCTACCTTTCTGTATACATGTAAAGCAGCTGCCCATGGAAGAAAAAAAAAAAACAACCCTGCATATATCACTAAAAGGAAGCAGGCCAGGAAATAAGAAAGGTCTAAGGATCATGGCTAGCGAACTAATTCAGCCACAATAGTCCCCAGAATGTCCTTCGAGTGTCTCATTCTTTTACCACTTTATAACAAAAATGACAAGTAGTAATGTCATGTGGCTTTCCCCACTCTGTTAAGTCTTATAAATGGATAGAGAAACTTCTCAGGAATAAGAAGTTCTGTTATGGTGTTATAATGTAGGAGAACTAAGGGCCCTTATATCGAATCAAGAATAAAGTACTCTAAATGTTTCTACCACACTGAAATGGGAAAGGTTTAAACAGACAGATATATCAAATGTAATTTAAAGATCATGACATAATTTTCATTGTCAACCTCACTGGATAAAATAGATTTTAAATGACATTATAGATTTTCTACATTTTCATCAGTTTTTCTAGAAATTAATTCCTCACCAACAGAACAGAATACTATTGTTTTCCTTAAATACTGCTTGTCATGCAGTACTGCAATAAACTAAACAATTTTCCTATCAACTCGAGCAAGTCACATATCTTTAGGAACCGACAAACCCCTTTATCACTGAAAAAACTTCTCTCTGGTATAATATAATGGGATTCTTTGGTATGCTTTCATTTATCCCTCAAATCTCATTATTGTCAGAACAGATATGAGAAGATCTGATTAGTGAATAACAATAAAAGACTGAAGTAGAAAATTGGGAAGACAATAGAAATACTGACCTTCTAAATACACATTGTGGCTTTTTTAAGGTGCATGCTTTTTATTGCTAAAGATTTACATCAAATAACAAAGATAGCACAAAATATAACATTAATAAACCTGCAATAAGAAAACAAAAGAGCCAGGCAATAACCTTATACTACTGTGATGATATTAAGAGATTAAGGTAATGTTTCTATGAGTGAAGTGACATTTGAGCAGTCTGCATTGTAGAAAGTATCATTCAATCATCAAAACATAGGGTTTAAAATATTGATTCATAACAAAGAAAGATAAATTTATTTCTCCTAATTTCAATTGTTTTGCAATTTGTTTGCAAAGTAGCAGCTAATTATCTTATTTACTTATTAACCTACCTGCTTTTCTTTCCCATTCCTGAATATTTTTCTTAATTTATTGTGAACAATTTATGGCATCAAAATAAAACGAATGAACATTCATAGATTTCAGCTTTTATCTCAAGAGTAAAAGTGGTGAATTTCAGCCATCTAATTCCTAAATCTTGTCACTATCAGTAGAATAAAAACACTTAAGAAAGCAGAAAGGAAGGGAGGGAGGGAGGGAGGGAGGGAGGGAAGGGAAGGTCAAAGGCACTAAACAGGCACACTTGGGTATTTCCAAACAGGTTTAACTGAGGAAGGAAGACTCATCCTAAATAAGGTGGCATTATCCAATGGAAATGGAAAGCTAGGATAGTTCTGGGGACGCCCCATCTCTGATTCCTGTTTAGCACCAGGGTCCCAACCACCAATTCAGCTACTATGTTATGCCATGTTGGTCTGTTCTTCTCTGAAACTAGATTAACCTTTCGTTTCTGACACTCTTTTCCGCCATGCAACTGATACCAGTGAGTAGAAAAATAACTAATACAACAGCACATGAAACATGTATCAAACATTATGCTACCATATTAGCATGCTATGTTCATGTTTCAACATACAAGTAAAAGAAAAAATAAAAGAAAAAGTAAAAAAAAAATGAAGAATAGTTTTGAAAAAAGAATAGACAAAACCACAATTATAGGGAGTGATTTGGAAAGGAAAGAGAGAGAAGAACACTAGCTGTCCCTTTCAGTTGTATCTATGTTATATTTTGTAGACATTAGTCTATCTTTTTTCTATTTTAAAATGTTTTATTTTATTAAATTATTTTATGTGTTTTGCCTGCATGTATGTCTCTGTGAAGGTGGGTACTGGAAATTGAATCCAAGTCCTCTAGAAAAGCAGTCAATGCTTTTACTCACTAAGCCATCTCTCCAGCCCGTCATTTGCGTATCTTAATTGAATAGTCTCCATTACGACATTTTCTCTGATTTAGATTATGTACTTTAATTGTACTGCTATAACCTAACCCTCTATTATCGCAACACTAATCATGATACAAGAATTGACCAACTCTAACTGCAAAAAACAGTCAGGAAAGTGGACAAAAGAGACTGAGATCATCATGAAAATTTTAGGTCAAAAATGCTCTACTCCTTGAGCCTGCTTGATGTTTAGCCACCTCAAATAGAACAGTGATTCTGCTGAACAGGAAGAAAGGCTAATAAGCAGCAACAATCAGTCTTTGCCACATTAGCTAACACAGATCAACAAACAGAATTTCAAGCATGTGAGGGGGTGAAAACAAGACTTTAAATTGCAATGATAATGTAATTCTGTGACAATACTACAAAAGGAAAATGAATGAAATTTCCTTCATGTTAATCTAGGGCACAGTCCAAGAAAACAGAGCTGTCTGATCCTTCAGTAAGTGACTAACTCATTTCATAAAAAATAAAAAGTCCCTTTCTACAACAACCTATCTGCTCAGTTCCATTCATATCACCCAGGCACTCCTCACCAAAACTAGACCAATATAATCCTACAGACAGGAGTCCAGCATAGTGAGACCACTAGATACAGGAGCCACTTTCAGATAACTTTCCACTACTTAACAATCTATAAAAATGTAAGAGACAGTGTCATAGGAGCAGGAGAGTATAAGCACAACATACTGAACACATGTACAAGAGAAGAAAAATAAAGATACCTCCAAGGTATTCCACATTACATGCTCTCCCCTGAAAATGTAATCACTACTTTCTTCTCAAAATTTTCTGCATTTCATAAAGTTTTTACTATCTTCTAGGTCTACAGTCAGAGAAATTCCAGAAGACACAAAGAAATACCCTGATAGTACTTAAAAAACAAAACAGAGCCACATTACCTGTAGTGCTCGCTGCTGGGAATACTCTGTGAGAAGTATAAAGCTGCTGTCCTTGCTCTCCAATGCCATTTCTTTGCAGGAAGAGTGTAGAGGACACAACTCTCTAATTCTTCTTGGAGTAGGTCTACCAGCTGTCGATGGGAGCCTCCATAAAATGCCTCGATGATGAGAATACTCATTGGCCTGTTCAAACCTTCACACTTAACAAAAATAAATTATAGATAGATAGATAGATAATATACATACATATATATACACACATACATATATTTCTTCAAATATATACATATAATTCTAATAAAAGCATACATAAATTAAAACCTGAAAAAAACACAAGCATTTTATGTATAATTTTTAAAAAATAAACACACTCAAGGCTTGAGAGACAGATCGGCCATTAGAGGCTTACAACCAAACAACAAAAATAAGCACTCCCTTTAGAAAAACAAAACCAAAACAACAAAAAAAATTAATACTTATGGGATGATATCATAAATTGATATAGTTATGGTATTTATATTAAAATAAATAGATGCCTCTATTTTCATTATTTCTGTTTTCCTCAGGTCTTATGTTTACTTCTAATTTGTTGTCCTAACCAGAAGCATAAAATCCTTTTCTACTATTTCTCTCACATTTTTGCTGGTTCAGTGCTGAACTTTGACCCTGTTTGACCTAAGACTTTCTCAGATGGCCTTTGAACTAGTCACCTAAGAGCTTTTACTTTTCTAAGACAGAACCTCATTAGTAGAGAAGCCCTGTCTTGAAGTAATGATGACTCAGCTTTATTCTTAAGGCTCTTTCCTGTTCAGTACAAATCTGATACTGTAATACTCCTGTTACTTCATCTTTAAGCCCACTACTTATCACTCCTCCCAATAAATCCATTATAAAAGGAAATTTATTTATATCTAAAAGTCAAATTTCTAGCACTAAAACCATTAGACATAATTTCTTGAGTAACACTATACATACCTTGATCAATTAATTTCCTACTGCCTATATTCAATATCCTACCCTTTCCTGAATCACCAAAAAATAGTGTTAAAAGTGTATGTCTGAGAGCCGGAAAAGTTTCTACCACTATTATCAAACAAGAAAACTATTAGATAAATACTAATAAAATAATTACTAATAATAAAGTACTAATGAATACTAATGGTTGAGTTCTTAAGTTATCATGAAATTCCATCACAGTGTTATCAAGTAATTTTTCATCTAATATGATATTTGTTAATGTACCCAATGAAATAAAAATATGTATAAATATTAAAAACTTCACACATACTTTAAATTACATGTTCTATCTTGTGATAAAGGGGAAATATCATTCTATAAAAGAATGATATACTGCTAGAAAAATGTTCCATGTATCTGAATTTTCTTTTATGAATGAAGTAAACAACACTCATTAAATAGTATATAGCTTCCTAAACTAAAGTTACATAATGTTGCATACTACATACTTAGTCTCAATGACTCAATAACGTTCTTTACTAAGAAAACTGTTCTTCATTTTGCTCAATGAGGGATAATTAACTTGTATTTCACAGCAAAAGTATCATATGCTTTTCAAATAAAGGCTAAACTAAAAATAAAAAAATTGTTGATGTGTGAATATTCCAAGGACCATTTGAAGAGAAGAATGATGTGTATGTTTGAGTGTGCATGTGTGTGAATGTGTGTGCATACACCGACATGAGAGTGGAAGGGAGAAAAACAGGAGGGGAAAAGAATTAATTCACTTACAAGCAAAATAATATGCAGTATTTAGCAGAAAGAGACAAGCTTGATTCTGTTTACTTTCTGACTGTATAATATTGATAAGTTACCTGACTTTGAAAGATTCATTTATAAAATTAAGATAACGGTTACAACCTCAGAGGCATGTTATGAAGATAAAATTAGATTACATGAGGAACAACAGCTTATCAAATAAATATTTATTCCCTCTAAATGTATAAATCACTATCTAACTAAAAATGTGTATCACTAGAAATATGCAAGAGTTTTAAATTCTGTTATTTTCAGTCAAGGCCTCCTATCAAGGACAGAAAAGAAAATTGAATGCACAGGTGAGTTTGAAATCCAATCCATTTCTCAGCAGCAGCTGGTATTTCATAAACTTAGGACTCAGCTATTCAGAGTTATTTTCTTATGCTAGCGATGAGGATCTCCCTCCTGCTTTTCTAACACAGCATTCAATGTGTTCTCACGTGTATTTAATAAAGGGAATCGATTAATCTTTCAAGTGATGATAAAAAATCTTAAAAATATCTGAGACCAATAAAAAGAATTTTTGAAAGATTATACCAAAGGTTTCAAGGAATATAGGTAAGAAGTACTTTTAAAATAACTGCTTTCTAGGTCTACATCATTGTGCCTTTTTCTATGATTAATCAAAAGCATGCCTCATGTTTATTTTACAATGTTGCCCATGGGTTTGGATCACAAGTTTATCTACAAGCCATCGGTCATGGTGGAGGCAGCTCGCATAGGTGGTGCTGTAGAATGAGACTCAGTGAGAAAATCTAAAACCAAAGCATGTGGGAGGTCGAAAACAGAAAAACAAAATGAAAAAGATTATAGTTATAGTAGATTACTATCCCTTTAATAGTTCCATAAAAGGGAAGTGTACAGGTTTGAAGTAGCATTTATTCAAACATTTTTCTGTGGCTAATGGGTGTGCCTACATTTGGGATATTTTTCTAGGGAAAGTAACTATGTCCTACAATCTCTGAAAACTATACTTAGTGGCTTTGATTCATGGAATTTGTTCTGCTTATTTTATGGAAACAGACATATCCTGGCAGCACCTCCACTACTTCTATTGGAACTTCTGTGGCAAGAAAAAAAATGAATTCTTCCTCACACTCTTCTTAAAGCGCAACCTGAAGCTCAGATGATTTCCACTAAATATGAACAAAATGGGGAAACTGGTTTTTAAGTAAAGATTCAAACCAAATGTCACTACAGCACTTTACAGAATGGATTAAATATTTTCACTGTATTTGGTTTTTGTTTTAGGAAACACTGTTGGAAATAAGTAAGCATGAGGTTGAAAGCATCCACTTTGCCATTACAATATTTGTAAAATATAAAGGGAATATCCTGTTTGCCCATTTTAATAGCTGCCAGAGAAACCCGCAGGTGGTTGGTTACCTTCATATAATGGAGGTTCACAAGCAGGCAGGCCATATAGGCATTTTCAGAATACTAGAAGGGGGCTAAACAGTACTTAGAAAAAGCTAAAAAGACCTCTGATTTTAAAGATCTATTTCATTTTTGCTTTGTTTTGGTTTTTTGTTTTGTTTTGTTTTTCGAGGCAGAGTTTCTCTGTAGCTTTGGGGTCTATCCTGGAACTAGCTCTTGTAGACCAGGATGGCTTTGAACTCAGCAATCAGCCCGCTACTGCCTCCCAAGTGCTAAGATAAAATGCCTGGGGCACCACCACAGGCTAAAGTTCTATATCTAAATCAAGTACAGGGTCTCCTTGATGGAAGATGGTTAAGATGATGAGTCTGCCAAAAGATGTTGTTGAGTCCACACAAGACAATACTTGCAGTCAGGAAGCAGAGAGAGATTAATTGGGTTCTTAGCTTGCCTTCCTCCCCATCACAGACAAGGTCTCTCTGTAGATTTGGTGCCTATCCTGGAACTAACTCTTGTAGACCAGGCTGGCCTTGAACTCACAGAGATCCACCTGCCTCTGCCTCCTGAGTGCCAGGCTTAATGGCATGCTCCACCACCACTGGGCTTTAGTTTGCTTTTTGCTTTTTGACATTTCATTTATATTCAATCTAGAATCTTAGCCTACAGAATGATGCCATACACATTCACAGGTGAGTCTTCCTTTACTTAAGCCTTTCTGGAAATACCACACAGTCCCAGTAAACAGGGTTTCCAGGATGACTATACATCCGGTCTGGCAAACAATACAGATTATGCCCTCTCCATTAACTTGACACCCAGCACATCACTTTAAATTATAACATTCTATACCAACACCTAAAGTGTGATTTTCATCTCATATTCCAAAATGCATTAGTCTATCTGTAAAGGTCTCCTGAGTCAAACATTTTCAGGGCTGTTCAAACATTGGAAGTATTTCTGATTCAATGCAATTTCTTAAATGTTATTCACAGACAGACCAAAAAAAAGAAGAAAAAGAAATGAAAGGAAACGTTGTATGATTCCAATATAAAATGAAGAGGAGACGTGGGAGGACCAGAAAGGAGAACAGAACGGGGACAAGACTGAAGGCTAAAAGGGCAGTCCTGTAGCTACATCGCTGTCCTCTGGGACGTGCGGTGGAATCACCAAAGCTCCAGCAGCACTGGGAAGCCCTGCTGCCTGCTTCCACCCTGCAGCCTTCCTCAGTGGATGGCCCATGGCCCAGGCCTCTCTCACACCCTGGGGTTTCTCTTGTCACATGAGTGTCACTTCATAGCTTCATCATAAGGATTCAGTGCAGGGAATCTGACTGCCACACATTGCCTGTCCTTAGTGGCTTTGGGGAACTTTGATTCACGCTTCTATGACCCCTTACATTTTCATCTCTCATATCTGGAAAACCAGTACACATGAACAGCACTGCCAAGTTCTGTTGTCAGTTGGAAATGTAGCCCGTTTCCCTTGGAGCAGAGCTGTGGTGGCCCTCTAGAATCAATGTGAGAAAATAATTCCTAAGCAGTTTCTATTCCACAGGGAACCCCTTAGGCAGCATTCTCTGCTTTCAAATGAACTTTCATTGTCACAGATTTAGCCTTTGATGAGTGGCATCCTGCACTCATGCACATTTCCCACCGTTTCCACTGTTTTCACCAGTAGAGTTTGCCAATTCTCTTTAATGATGTTCATTTCTTTAACAATCACAGCTACTTTCTCCACACCTTCCCCGGCAACAATTTTGGAATTTTTTTTACAACTCTTTCCTAGTAAAATTGTACATTTCCCGTGCCATTCTGCTCTGTTTGCTGCACTTTCTTATTACAGAACTGGCTAAGAGCAGCAAATGGTAACCATGACACAGCCAGAATGCTACCTACTGTCTAGAAATCTCCACCACCCAACAAATTAGTGCATTATTTTTTGAATGCAGCTACCCACTCTCTCAGCACTTCTGCAGAATCAAACCTGTTTCTTGTCAGAGTGTAACACTACATCCTCTACCCAGCTCCCAACAAAGTCATTTCCCTCTGAAATTCCAGAAGCTGATCCTCCACCATCTGCATTTCTCTCAGCATTTTCTGCTCTTCCAATTTTTCTTCAGAATGGCTAAATTCTGCTTACAAGTGACTAGGAGAGTCCCAAATTCTCCCATATTTCTCTGGCAATTCAATTCCAAAAACCTCTCTCTAAGCACGTGGTCAGTCCATCCAGCAACAGACCAATTCCTCGGTAGCAGCTTTCTCTGTCAGTTATTTTCATCATCATCATCATCATGGACAAACTCCTGACAAGAAGCAAAGAGCACCCTAAGTGAGGAACGGTTTATTTTGGTTTGTACTGTAAAGGAGATGGTCTGTTATGTTAGAGAAAGCACAGTGATGGGATGAAGTCACTGTGCCTCCAGTCAGGAAGCAGAGAGCAATAAGGATGCAGTACAGCTCAGTGCCTCCATGCCTTTGCCATCATCAGAGACTGCATTCCTTAAGATCCAAGCCAAAACAAAGCCTTCCTCCCTTAAGTTTCTTCTTGACAGGTATTTGTTAACAGCAATGAGGTGCGCAGGAAGAGGAGAGTGGGGGGGGACAAAAAACAAAACCTGACACAACAGATACCAAACAATAACTATATAGCTTCACCATAGGACACTCAGAGTATTATTTGTCATAAAGAGTACATGGCCATACCGTAATCCCTAGAAGAACATAAAAAATATTTCAGATTAAATGTTTAGCTACTTTTACAGTTTTCTTCTTAAATAAGTACACTTTTATTGAAGAAAATCCATTTCTTCAGCATATTTTATTCTCTAATGACAGCACTGAGGAAACTCTATGACATTATCATTATCAACAGTATGATTTAATAAAAATGGCTAAATGTTGAGCATTAAAATTTATATATGAGACAAATTTATAACAAAATTTTATAGCATAAATGGTATTTCTAAGATCACTAAAGAACTAACAAATGTATTTAAGAATTAATAGAAATTTACCTGAACACCTGAAAAGGGAGTTGCAACGTGAAAAGTATTTCATGCAATTATCTTGAGCAACAAGAAAATGCCATTAAAATCACCTCAATTGGAAACTAATAATATATTAACAGAACAAAAGTAATTTGACAAAGAAAACCAGCCTACAAATCACAATCCCAGAGAACCTAGACAACAATGAGGACCCTAAGAGAGACATACATGGATCTAATCTACATGGGAAGTAGAAAAAAGACAAGATCTCCTGAGTAAATTGGGAGCATGAGGACTATGGGAGAGGGTTGAAGGGGAGGGAAGAGGACGGAAGGGGAGCTAAAATGTAGAGCTCAATAAAAATCAATAAAAAATATAAAATAAAAAAGTAGCTTGAATCCAGTACTATGAATATTTTTAATTTTTTATTAAAAGTCTTTGCTATTGCACCTGCATTTATTTTAAGCTTGACCCAATTTTTTTATTCCCTGAGCCATGATCATTTTCAAGGTGAACTACATTTTCTAACTCCTCTAGCAGTTACAACTGCGGTAGCTGTAAAATCTTAACCGTAAAGAGTAGAAAATCCCCACGTAACATTCACTCTTAGAATCAACAAATGTATTAAGTGAGTTTGGAAAAACTAAAATATATATAAAACCCACAGTTAGTACTGATATGTGGTGCACAATCAAACATCAGTAATATTCAATCTTTATCCAAACACCCGGCAATAATTTTAAAAGCCAAGCAACTGCTGTAATAAGATACTCCACAGATACCTAGATGTAGGAAGATAGTTTTATGGATGATAGTTTCAAGAATTTTCATCCCACTCACAAGAAATTGGTCCACAAGTTAATCTATACATTACTTTAAAATTCATTCAATCACTGAAAATATATTTTCTATTTGTCTATATACAATATCTGGAAAATTTAGCTTGCAGAGCAAACAAAAAAAATAAGACTACTGACCTTAGGAATAAACTGCAGGAAGGATAATTTGAGCAGACTTTCCCAATAGCTCATCAAAGGCTCGCCAGGTGTTTCTTTGACTTGGTTTATCTTCATTCACTGAATCTCCACCCAGCAACTCTAACAACCTCAGGCTGTACTTTAAAGGAAACCTATAAGCCAGCAGAGAAAATACAGCAGTACTGAGAAAAGTTAGTATTAACTTCCAGCCCACTCAGCTATTTTAATGATTCATCAGGGAAAGACCGATTGTTAAAATACACCTGTAATCTCAATAAACAGTAAAAAAAATTAGAAAAGAAGATTTCTGCATTGAAACATGCCACAAATGATTCCACTAACAAAATAAAACCCACTAACATTTAACATTAATAATACTTTGCTAAAGAGTAACATGGTATATTTAATTGTTCAAGCAGAAAAGAGAGACTGACAGAATGAATTAAGAGACTTCATTAAAAATTGTTTTTGTAAATCTAGTTACTACAAAAACAAGAATAGATTCATCCTAACTTCTCCCATTTCAATGCAATCTCTGAACTGAAATGTAATTTAGCATAAAATATAAATTAACCTTGCAATCTAAAAACTATGGAAACTGACAATATTCTACACAAAATTAAAAAGGTTGGGTAATAGGAATAAATCCACTTCCCTAATATTTGTTTAAACAGTAAATAATGCCTACTAGGAAATGTTAATGCATTGTTTATGATACATACACACTAATGTTACTAATATATACTATATTGATGCATGTTCTTAAATAGAAATAATTTCAAGTATAATATTAAAAAGATAGTGCTATATAATATTTTATATTCCCACTATTCGATCATTCTTTTTATTTCCTCGTCTGACTATTTCCTGTTGTGATAACAAAGAGCTAAGGATTGATGCATCGAAATCCTTAGGAAAATATCCTGGTTAATGTGACTGTCAGCTTGACACACCTGAAAAGAGAAGTTCAGTTGAACATATTCTCCATTGCTCACTGATATGGGTGTACCCAGCTCACTGCAAACAATACTATCTTTCCCAGGCCTAGGCTGTAAAAGAATGGAAGCTGATCAAGCAAGGGGAAGCAAGACAGTAAGAAACCATGCTCAGTGGTCTCTGCTTCAAGCTCCTGCTTTAGTTTCCCTTGGTGATGGACTATAACTTTTGGTTTTCTTGTTTGTTTGTTTGTTTTTGGTTTTTGGTTTTTGAAGACAGGGTCTCTCTGTTGCTTTGGAGCCTGTCCTGGAACTAACTCTTGTAGACCAGGCTGGCCTCGAACTCACAGAGATCAGCCTGCCTCTGCCTCCCGAGTGCTGGGATTAAAGGTGTGCGCCACCACCGCCCAGCTGATGAACTATAACTACAAACCAAATAAGACTCTTCTTTGTCCAAGTAGCTTTTAGTCAGTGTTTTATCACAGCAACAGAAAGAAAGCTAGAACAGAAATCTTACATGCCATGCTGTTTGTGAGACAAATTAAACCTATTTTTAATGTGTTTTTTCCAATTATGAATTGTGATGATCTCTTAAGTACATATTTTTGCAAAGTAGCAATTTTACATCTACATATGACTTTAATTATCTCTGACAAATTTGTTTATTCTTTCTTGATTTGAGATTTAACATTATACTTAAAAATATCAGTTTCTTATTTCATGATTTGAATTAACGAAGTCTTGATTATAAGTTTAAAATGCAAACAAATAACCCTGTAACAAATAATTAAGTATGTACATATGAAATTTTTAATTACTTACATTTTTTAAAGTTACATTCTATGTTAAATAGCAAATTATAATTGCAATTTTTTTTTTGGTGAGAGGTTCCATGATTTAATTTCACTAAGAAGTAAAATACTGATCCTTTTACAACTACTTGCTGTTATTTGTCTCTTGAATTTCAAACTATAAAATCAGCAATACTCTATCTTAGGAGGGTGGAGATAGACAAATCTCCAGAGTTCATTGAGCAGGCAGCTTAGCCATTTGATAAGTGCTGGATTCAGTAAGAGTCCCTGGCCCAAGAGAAAAAAAAACAAAAAACAGCAATCCAGATAATCATCCAACACTGACCTCTTGTCTCCACAGACATGCACAGATGTATAAATACAGACATGTCCACTATAAGCATTCACATACACACCCCAAAATTAACAATGAATTAATTCTATTGAATTCAATTTGATGACATTTCAAAATAGGATAACATCTGACAAATCAATAGAAAGTTTTTTTTTTAGATTCTATTCTTTTTATTGATTTTTATTGAGCTCTACACTTTTCTCTGCTCCCCTTCCTGCCTCTCCCCTCCACTTTAACCCTCCCCCAAGGTCCCCATGCTCCCAATTTACTCAGGAGATCTTGTTTTTTTCTACTTCCCATGTATATCAGATATATGTATGTCTCCAAAGAAAGTTTTAATGGCAGAAAATCACCCCATCAATCAAACTATCTAGTTACACTATTGAGTTAACTAGTCCAATATACAGCCATGTTCCCACTACATAATTCTCCATAAACCACAAGTAATATTTCCAAAATATAAATCTGAAATTGAAGATAAAAAATAAGGATAAAATCCAGCACTCTGTAAATGGCAGGTTCCTTTTTTTGGTCCCTCTCCACTCTCTTCATTACAGCCCCAAGTGATCCCCCTCCTAACCCTTCCCCAGACTGCACCCAAGCAATACCAACTACCCACACTCATGCTGCAGGGTTTTTCCTCTCCTGTTAGTTCTCATCATTATCTCTCTTTTTTTATACTTCAATTTTTACAAAAACTTTTGCTCATGAATTACTGTAGAATGAACGGCAGGCTGCATTCCCGCCCGGATCCCGGCTAGCTAACCCCCAAAATAATTACATGGAAACTGTATTCATTTAAACACTGCCTGGCCCATTATCTGTAGCATCTTATTGGCTAACTCTCTCATGTTGATTCAACCCATTTCTAATAATCTGTGTCTCACCACGAGGTCGTGGCTTACCGGGAAAGATCCTAACCTGCGTCCTTCTTGGGCAGGAGAAGCATGGCGTCTGCCTGCCTCTGCTTTCTTTCTCCCACAATTCTGTTTTGTCTACTCCACCCACCTAAGGGCTGGCCTATCAAAAAGGCCAAGGCAGTCTCTTTATTAACCAATGAAAGTAACAATAGACAGATGACCCTCCTCCATCAAATTGCTATTTCTATGAAGCCTCTCCCATCTCTTACAGACAATTTCCACTCTGCTCTGTACTCTCAAGAGTAGTAGTATCCCTGCTGCTCTGTGAAGCCAGGGAATTCCTGAGGATGGAGACCATGCCATTACTTTGCTGGGATATATCTCAGTATGTGACAAAAACATAGCTAATACCAGGGTTTTCTAGATCTGAAAAAAATCAAGGAGACAAAGTGCATTTCTTCAGCTTCATTTCTTTTACTTGTAAATTCTAACCAACGTGCTACAAGAACTGTACTTGCTGCTAGTCATTTCCCATTATTCATGAAGTCTAACTGATTTTAAAAACAAGTGCATTTGAAGATATGTTATGCTCTTTTCAAATATGGACTGCTTTCTATTACTATTCACAGAATGCAGAAATTATGGGAAAATGACAGGGTTTTATTTTTTTCCAAGTCAACAGGTATAATGATTTTAACCCATTGCTACAAAAGAAGTAGGAATGACTGAAGAAATGGGAGACACGGCATAAATAAGTGAATTCTAAGCTAATGTGAAACTTTTGGTCTAATGCAATATCTATAAGGAATACAAGTTTAACAAAAACCTGCAGATTTTGATTCATTATCATTCTACTTTAATTCTGTAAGCACAACTAGGATGGATAAGAAGCCAATTCCCTTACCATCAAACTTCAGATCCCATTTCACATTTAATAATTAGACTTTTATTTAATGTGGAAGTAAAAAGGCATTTTTAAATACTATCTGCTAACTATTATTCATTTTCTAAATGTTTGACAAGATGAATAATACATATGCTTTCCCAAGATGGCATTTCTCCAATGGCTACTACCTTTTTCAAACAGGCTATAAGTCAGTTCAATGGGAGAAAATTAAACTGTCTGACCCATGTAGATGTGAATGACCAAATAGAAAAATCAAGGTGTGTCACAGAATCATGAATGCAGAAAATAAAGATAATACTGCTTAACCAGTCTTTGACAAAAAAAGAAATTATATTGGCATGACAGAGAAAATGAATAGCAGAGAATTAAATCCACATGTTGGTACCTCATGTATAGATGATTTGTCCCATTATATTTCACTACAGAGAAAGGAAATGATCTTTGTGATAGGCATATTAAATTTTTTAGACTGGCATTCCAAGATTATATACAAATGTTTAATAATTACTACTAATACTCAGCAGGACATGTTACATATATTTGTGGGATGAAACTATCTATAAAATTAAATATATTTGTCATATACAGTATTTAACAATGCCTTCAATCAGTTTCTAAGTTTGGAACAACAACAGTATATGATACATAAACTCGATATGATACAGCTAGGCTTGGAAAAATTACATGTTGCTCTGAACTTCTCTATCTCTTAAAAGTTCTGCATATTCCTTACTCCAGATATATAGAAATATGCTCTACAAAGAATAAATATACCTTATGAACACTAGAATTAGAAATAAATGAGTTTATATAACAACACAGAAAACAGTTCCAAGGCAATAGAGATTGACTATATAGATATGCTCAGGATAGCAAATACCTACTAGTGCCAATATCAAAGTCTACAATTCCTTAAAAAACAATACATACTAGTTGATTGTACCTACTATCATACATAAGGCACATGTGTATGAATAATTATGTACAGTCAGTATTATTCACTAGATATTAAATGACATGAGGAAACCAAAGAATTCTGCTTTCTTACCACTGTAAATGCTTATACTCAGCAAAGATGTCTGTTAAGTCAATGAGACATAAAACCCTTTGGTCTAAACAATTTCTTCACAATTGATACAAGACCTCTATTATCAACCACAAATAATCTTTATAACTACTATTTATTACTGAGAAAACTATGAAAGCACAAAATCTATCATGATATATAACAAGCAGTATCCTAACATTATTTAAAATGTGACACTTCAGTACAAATAAACAGCTTGGGTCAAGGCCCAGTTTAG